GTTGAGAGTCCGCCTGCCGATGCAGGGGACACGGGTTCATGCCCCGGTCTGGGAAGATCCCACATGCCGCGGCGTGGCTGGGCCCGTGAGCCATGGCCGCTGAGCCTGCACGTCCGGAGCCTGTGCTCCGCAACAGGAGAGGCCACAACAGTGAGAGGCCAGCGTACCGCAAAAAAAAAAAACTGCTCTAAAAAAAGTCTATCTTAAAAAAAGAAAAATAAAGTTAAATACACACCTACGACATGACCCAGCCATTCCATTCCTAGACATTTACCCAAGGGAAGTAAAAGCATGTGTCCACACAAAGACTTGTGTGTGAATATTCATAGCAGTTTTAATTTTAACAGCCAAAACTCGACACAACCAAATGTTCATCAACAAATTGTGAATGGATAAGCAAATTGTGGTGTGTGTATATACAATAGAATACTACCCAGTAATGAAAAGGAACAACAATGGATGAATCCCAGAATAATTATATTGAGTGTAAGAAACCAGACAAAAGTACATTCTTCTATATAATTCCATTTCTATGAAAATTCGAGGAAAAGGATGGCAATTTAGTGACAGAAAGCAGATCAGTGGTTGCCTGGAGGGGCTGGCAGGTGGGAAAGGGTGGGAAGGAAAGATTACAAAGGGGCTTGAGGAAACTTTTTGGGGTGATGGATATGTTCATTACCTTGATTGTGATAATGGTTTCATGGGAGTATACATGTCAAAACAAAAACGTACCTTTTAAGTATACATAGTTTATTGTATGTCAGCTATACCTCAATAAAGCTGTTAAAAACACCTATAGAACTTAGCCACTGATTGGATATGGCTCTTGGGAGATAGGGAGGAATCTGAGTGGATTAATGGTGTGGGGGACACTAATCTGGAGGGGATACTGGAGGATCAGGTTTTGGAGGTACCTTTGGGACCCACCCCCATCCAAGGGGAGATGCCTGGGGGTGGGACTAGCCCTCAGAATAGAGGTACAGATTTGGGGGTCACTGGCCATCGGTGCCACCTGAAAGAAGTACGTAGAGGCAGGGGACAGACACTTCATTCTGGACACAAAGATGCTTCATAAAGATGTCTGTTCTTAAAGTAATCCATAGATTTATCGAAATTAACAATTCTAGGGACTTCCCTGGCCATCTAGTGGTTAAGACTCTGCGCTTCCAGTGCAGGGAGCGCAGGTTCCATCCCTGGTCGGGGAACTAAGATCCCACATGCCGCGTGGTGTGGCCAAAAAAATAAAAAATTCTAACAGATTTTTAAAAATTCTAACAGATTGTTTGAGGGGAAGACGGACTAGAAAAGCTGATTTAAACTTCATATGGAAAATTGAACAAGCAAGAATAGCCAAGAGGGACTTCCCTGGTGGCACAGTGGTTAAGAATCCACCTGCCCATACAGGGGACATGGGTTCGAGCCCTGATCCGGGAAGATCCCACATGCCGCAGAGCAACTGGGCCCATGTGCCACAACTACTGAGCCTGCGCTCTAGAGCCCGCAAGCCACAACTACTAAAGGCCGTGAGCCTAGAGCCTGTGCTCCACAACAAGAGAAGCCACCACAATGAGAAGCCCGCACACCGCAGCTAGAGAAAGCCTGTGCACAGCAACAAAGACCCAATGCAACCAAAAATAAATAAATTAAAAAAAAAAGAGAGAATAGCCAAGAGACTCCTGAAGACAGGAGACTAACCCTACCAGATATTAAATCCAATCTATAATAATTAAATATAATGAAGAGAGGTACTGATGCACAAAGATCATTGAAAGATAGAAAAACCTAGAAATAGATCCAAATGCATATAGAAATTTAGTATAATAGTAGCAATTCAAATCTGTTGAGAAAAGATGAGTTTTTCACTAAAAGGCATTAGGAAAATGGGCAGGAATTTTGTATATGATAAATTCCAGATGAACTCATGATTTAAATGTAAAAAATGAAAACAAAAATACAGCCAGCAGCTAAGGGAGACATTCTTTTAATCATCTCAGTGTGGAAAAGGTCTTTTCAACTATGACACAAAACCCAGCAGCCACAAAAATTTATTTTACTACACTAAAAAATCTGCATAGCAAAGTTAAAATGATAAACCAAAGAAAATACTTCCAATTTATATCCTGAAAGGCTATTTTTCCTTATATGTGAGTCAGGTACCAAAAACAGTGGTGAAATGGGCAAAGACAAGGACAGTTCACAAAAAAGTAGACAAAGAGCTCTTAAACATATGAAACAATGCTTGAGCTCACTCAGAAGAAAAATACAAATTAAACCTTCACCAGGACACCATTTTCTACTTAGCAGTTTGGCAAACATAAAACAATCTGGTACCTCACTGATTGGTGAGTGTTCTGGAAAACAGCCTTCACATGCTCTGCTAGAGGTTGGGGGGTAAGGGTGGTACAGGCATAGCCCCAACAGAGGGGCATTTGGCAAAGTCCTTCAATTTTGACTTGACCTTTGGCTGAACAATTCTTCTAGGAATTCACTCTACAGACACCTTTTCACATTTGAATAATGCTGTTCTTACAAAGTCTTAGTGACTCTCTATAGCACTGTTTGGAATAGCAGAAGTGTGGAAACAAATGCCAATCAATAGGAAAAAAGATACATTATAGTACATCCACACAGAGGAATACTACACAGCTGTCAAAAGGAATGTGCAGACAAGGAACCATCTTTAAAATACATTGATAAGTACACAGTAGGATGTATGGAATTCTCCCACTGGAGTGTTTTAAAAATGGGCGTGGGACATATATGCATATTTGGTGTGGTATCTTTTTTCTGACACCACATCTCACACCAAATATGTTTTTTCCCGGATACCAAATACATGCGATGGGTCCACACCAACTCTCCAACACCATCTAGGTGCCTACAATTCAATTCGGGCACTAATTGCCAGAGTTAGCACAGACCCCATGCGTTAAGGGCTCAGTTCCACAAGATGCCAGCCACCAATGGAATGCCCAGGTGACCCATACTCCTGTCTGGCCAACTACAAATTTGGGGATACCCACAACACCCCTCCTCAGGCCTGATAATTCAGTAGAACACTCTCAGAACTCAGGAAGGTGCTTTACCTACTGTTAACAGTTTCTTATAAAGGATACTCAGGAGCAACCAAATAGAAGAGATTCATAGGGCAAGATGGGGGGGGAGGCAGAGCCACCCTCCCCCCAAACTCCAAATCTCCAGTGCCCTGCCCCTCCTGGAGGAAGTAGGGAAGCTGAAAGTTCCCACCCTCTAGATCAGTTTTTCTGGTGATCAATTTCCCCCCCATCCTGAGTAACCTCATTAGCATAAACTCAGGTATGATCCAAAGGAGCTCATTATGAATAACAACAGACACTCCTGCAACTCTGGAAATTCCAAGGGTTTTAGGAGCTCTGTGCCAGGAACCAAGGACAAAGACCAAATATGTATATTTTTATTACATCACATTTGGTTATATACATTCAGATTCTTTCTCTGGAAGGACATGAATTATTACTTTCATTGCTTCCAGGAAGGGGAACCAGATGGCTGGGAGTCAGGGGTAGAAGGTGACACTTGGTGCAAAATTCAAAACATACATGTGAATATATTACCTATTTGAAAAACTCTTACAAATACTTTACAGTCCTTGTCTTGGCTTCTAATGGTCGCAGTCTCCAGGCTTTACCTCCTTACTTCTTGGGAGCCACTCATAGAGAGGCAGGGGAATCACGTCCAGATTCCTCTGCCACCTGACCCTTTAGACTTCTCTGTCTTGTGTTCCGGCCACTCCCCAAACATACATTCCCCTCTAGCCTTTCTCTGGGCAGCAGTTCCCTCTACTAGTAACACCCACATTTGAGCTCTACTCTTGAAACCTAGTTCTAAACCCTTCTAGGATTAACTCATTCAAATCTCAACACCCTTTTTAGTATAATACCCATTTTACAGATAAGGCAGTAGAGGAGATTAAATAACAGGCTAAAGTCACACATAAACCTGGACTTTGAACTTAAGCTGTCCGGCACCGGAGACCAAGTCTTAATCACTACTCTGGACTGTCTTTCCAAGAACACTGTTCCTCACCACCAGCACCCCGACACCACCACCTGAGCATGGGCAAACCTGACATTGTTCAAGACCCTGTTCAAATGCCAGCTCCTCTGGTGAGTCTTCCCTGCTCCCCAATTAACAAACTTACTTTGGGGAAGGGAGAGGGGGTCTTGTATTATAATAATTACATTATATTCGATTGCCGCCCAGAGCAAGGACCAAGGCTCATTCCTAAACAAACCTGACCCTGCAGGCATTTCTAGACTGACAACGGAGCCGTTTTCCTTCTGAGCATTTTTTTGTCCAGTAGGTTCCAGACCCTCTTCTAAGGACTGCATATACCTCATCTCATTTAGTCCCATCTGCACTGTGTGGATCTCACCATCCACAAAGATGTTAAAAAGGGGAAACAGGCTCAGGATGACTGGTCATGAATGGGAGGAGAGGAGCTGTTACAGGACCTGTGCTCATGGGTCTCCAACCACTGGTACCTAAACCTGGCAGATGCCCCTCTCCCGGTAGCTCCCTCCCTACCCCCACCCTGGGTCAGGGACCCAGACTAGGTGGTTGGTGTCCTGTGGACATGAATTTATTTGAGGAGTCAGGTCAGAGTGGGTACAAGTTGCAGGTTGGGAGGAAGGGGCAGGGGGCATGGGTAGCCCTGCCAGCCTGAGGCCAAGTAGACAGGAGGCCGGAGGGGCCACAGCCAGTAGAGCACTGGGTCAGCAGGCGAGCAGACGGGCTGTTCTCCACCCTGCGAGTGTCAGCGCCGAGGGCACAGCAGCAGCTTTGAGAAGACTGGGGGAGGAAGGTTGGAGAGAGGCTCAGAGGAAGCTTGCCAAGCCCAGGCGGCTAGGAGGTGGCAGGGCTGGACACATGCCGAGGCGCGCTGGACCCCAGGCCCCTCCTTCCCATTCTGCTGGCCCCGCACCTGCCCCTCAGCTCCTACCAGCTTCCCCTACTGTACCCTACTCACTGTGGAGGGTGTAGGTGCCTGGCTCCAGTTGCAGCTGGGTGGGCAGGACAATGAGGAAGGCCCCACTCCAGGAGTCTCCAGCCACTGAGAGACAAGCTTGGGAGGGAGGGCGGTGCCGCTCAGGGTTTTGGGAAGGGCACTTGGATATGACAGGCAGGGGGCAGGGGTGGTGGCAGCGGTGGCTGCGGCAAGGGGGTAAGCCACACAGGGGACAGTGGGGTGGCGAGAGGCCGGGGCCCCGGGGAAGGGGTATCTGAGCCTTTGGGTAGCTCCTCTGAGCCCTGCCATGGTGGGGATGCCTCTCCCGAGTCCAGGCCCAGTGGGTCGGCTCCTTGGCCATGACCTGGCATGAGAAGAGTGGATGGTAAATGGGAGGTGGGAGGTCCAGCCTCTTTCCCCCACCCCAGGCTGCTGGCGGGACCTCACCTCCTCGCAGCTCTGGCGTCTCACAACGGCCCTGAAGCCCATCCGTGCCCATAGCTTGTCCCTCTGACACAGGAAGTCTGACACTCGACGATGCCAATCTTGGCCCAGGGCCCACAGAAAAATCACGCTTTTGGGGTCCTCCAGGTCTTCCTCCATGTCATTTGCAAGGTACCTGGCCACAGAGGCAGGGGGCAGGGAACAGAGGCTGTAAGCATCTGCCCTGCCCCACCCTGCCACTCCGAGTCAGGGTCCCCATCACGCGCCCAGGCCACTCACAGTGCCAGGAACAGATTGCTGTGGGTGTACTCGCTGAGCTGCAGGTTGGCGCGCCGGAAGTAGACCAGCACCATGGCCAGGAGATACTGCAGACACAGAAATGGGGAGAGTTAGAGTCAGGCACTGGGTGGGGAGGGGCAGCCCCTTCTGCACCCAAGGAAGTTCTGGTGGGGCTAAAAACTCTGGGGTAAAATGTGGGGGAGGGGCCTGCAAAGAGAAGGGTTAGAAGGGAGGCGATCCCTCCACCAGACCAGAGGACCCAACGAATTAGCAGCACCGGAGCCCCACTAATTCAATCTTCCGCAAGTGAGGCTGGCCTCTGCCCCCACTGTGCCCTCTCACCTTATCTGAAATCTGGAAACAGGGATCTTTGGAGAGGAAATCCTGGAGGAAACTGTGCTCTGGGGGTAGAGAGGAGAAACGGTGGACTGGGGTTACCACCCCCACACACACAAGATAAGAGGGGCAGTAGCCGTTCCAAAGCCCGAGCACCCGCTGAACCCACTTTCTGACATGACACCCCCCACCTGCCAAACTGGGGTCACCTGAGAAGAGAAGGGACAGAGGCTGCAGGTGATTGCACGGGCAAGCTGAGATCCCACCTCCCATACCTGTTCACGCTTGGTCCCCACGGCCCCTGCTGTGCCAGACCCCAAGTGGACTCACCCAAAAGGCTGAGGAAGGCCTGGAGCTCCTGGTGCCGGCGGAAATGGAAAGACTCACCCCCTTCCCCTTGACGGCTCCAGCCCCTCAGCTTCACCTGGGTGCCAACCGCAGGGATTGTGGTAGGATCTTGGGCATCACTCATCTCTTGGGGGGTGGGGGTGGGTGAGGTGGGGTGGGACGGGGTGACCTGTAAAGGAAGCAGCCCCAGGACTTAGCACTTACCCCACTGCCCCCCAGAAGTCAAGGGGATCAGTGTGCTGGCCTGACAGATGACCTCCAGGAAGTGGAGGCATGGGAAATGGAGAAATGGGGGCTCAGAACAGAAGGAAACTGAGATGTGGCGCAGTGGGGGCGGGGGGAAGGGGCGGGGATGGGGCCAGAAAAGCAGCAGAGTTCCTGGAGGCTACAGCACCCTCCCCCCTCCTCCTGGCACCCCAGACCAGGCCAGAGAGGAAGAACAGCAGCAACAAGCACCTCTGAGGGCTTCCTAAGTGCCTGGAGCTGTGTTAAATGCTTTAAGGACATTATCTTAGTTCATCCTGATAAGTAGACCCATTTTGCAAACACGGAAACTGAAGCATGGAGGTCTCACGGCCACTTCAAGGTGGAGCCTGTCTGACCCCAAAGCCAGAGTTTAACGGCTCCTCTTGTCTCCCACCTCACAACAACCCCCTCACCCTTCACCAAAGCGGCAGCCCTGAAAGAACCAGCAACCCTTTATCGCCCAGAAGGAAAACTGAGGCTCAGAGAGAGGAAGGTTATTGGACAAATATTGGGGTTTAGGGCAAGTTGAGGTGGGGCCACCTCAAACATTTTTAGCTACGAAGAGAGAGACTCCAACTATGGGGCTTAGGGGAGGGTCCCCTCCACCACCCCTCCGTCAACCTAGGGGCCTCCATCTTGCTTCCCACAAGCAGCCCAGCCTCTTCCCTCCAGAAGCATTACCTGAGCTCAGGAGTTAACCTACAGCGTAACTCCAAGCCCAGCCAGAGCATTTATATAGCCCCAGGGCTGCCACGCCCCCGCAGCCCTCCACCAATCAGGCCCCTTCCTGGGAAAGGGTGGGGCTTCTCGCCATCACCACCCACCTCTACTTGGAGAAAATCCAGTCAGTTTCCACCACTCGTCTCCCAGCTGTGGCTCCCCGAGGTAAAAGCTCCTCCAAAGTCTCATCACCTACAAGAGGGGTGATCTCATCACCTACAAGAGGGGTGAAGGCAGGCTAGCGGGACCCCACAGCCTGAAAGGCAGCAGGAGCCCCTCTCGACTCTTTACAAATGCAGAGCCAAGGCGCGGGGCGGGAATGCTACCGACCTGGGCTGCGGCGAGCGGCTGATGAGTAAGATGTGATTCAGGGATTGGGCCTTGCTGGGGAAGGGTCGCTGGATGTGTCTGTGTTTGTTTGAGATCCAGGAATCCCCAAACCTGGGAGCCAGAGAGGAGGTTGTCTTGGCGTGAGAATTCCCAGGGGCCACATCCCCCTTCCAAGGTCTTTTAGGGGTATGGGGAGCCCGGCCAGCGGCTCCACGGTGGGGGAGGAAGGCTTTGCCCGGGACCACCTAGATCATCCTCTCCACACCGCCACCCCCCGCCCCCGCCACACACACAGCAGACCTTAAGCCTTTTCATCTTCACTGGCTCAGTTACGCTTTACAGTTAGTTGTATTGGACAGTCAGCACCTGCATTACTTTCCACATGGGACAGGTGACATTTGTTCCCTATTCTTTTTTTACTGTGATAAAATACACATTACATAAATTTAACAATATTTACTGCCTTAACTTTTTAAAAATAAATTTATTTATTTATTTTTGGCTGTGTTGGGTCTTTGTTGCTGTGCATGGGCTTTCTCTAGTTGCCGAGAACGGGGGCTACTCATTAAGGTGGCTTCTCTTGTTGCAGAACACGGGCTCCAGGCGCACGGACTCCGTACTTGTGGCGCTCGGGCTTAGTTGCTCCGCGGCATGTGGAATCTTCCCAGACCAGGGTTCAAACCCATATCCCCGGCGTTGGAAGGCAGATTCTTAACTACTGCGCCGCCAGGGAAGTCCCTGCCTTAACATTTTTAAGTTCACACTTTTAAGTACTCACTAAATGCCTCCCCATTTCAAAACCTTCAACTGAGGACTTGGGGGCTAAGAAGGAAGGAGAATATATAAAACTCAAAGTCATCGGGCAGGATAGCAGTGAGATTCACTTCAAAGTGAAAATGACGACACATCTCAGGAAACTCAAAGAATCATAATGTCAAAAACAGGGAGTTCCCATGAATTCACTCAGGTTTCTCTTTGAAGGTCAGAGAATTGCTGATAATCACACTCCAAAAGAACTGGGAATGGAGAGAGCAGATGTGATTGAAGTTTATCGGGCACAAACGGGTGAATTCAATGGTTTTGATATTCTTATTTTTTGTTCCTTTCCCTTAATCCTTTTTTATTTTTTTAATTTTTTTACGTCTTTATTGGAGTATAATTGCTTTACAATGGTGTGTTAGTTTCTGCTTTATAACAAAGTGAATCAGTTATACATATACATATAATCCTTTTTTATTTTTAAAAATAGTTCCTTGTAACGTGGTGTTCAAACCAGAATTGAAAACTGGCACCCCATCTCTTTAAAATGTCTGGTAATTTGAATTCTAGTGCCCACCAGGGAAGTCCCTCATCCTTTCATTTTCTTAACGTTGTTTTCACAGAGCAAGTCTTTCATCTTGATGATGTGCAATTATCAATTTTTTTTTTTTTTGGTATGGATTGTGGGAGGGGTTTCAAAGGCAGGATTCTCCCATCCCCCAAGACTTCAAGAAGCCCCAGAGAGTAGACAAAACCCAAGAGAAGAGGCAGCCAAAGGCAGGCCACTGTAGAAGAAAGAGCCAGAGGCCTGGGGCTTCCGAGCTGCCCTGGTCAGATGTGTAGGAGGCCACGCTAGGGCAGAGAGGCCTGTGGGTGGGGAGGTGGGCAGGGCATGGGAGTTCTAGATGAGGGGAATGAGCCCTGAGTGGGTGTGGCCAGAGGACTGCCATAGATCACAGACCCAGGAGGCAGAGGGCAGCCACCCTTTCAGGCCTGGTTCTGGCGCCCCTTGCCTCTGCACACCCTCCCTGATTTGCTCCCTGAATTGCCTCATGTATTACACTGGTATTGAATCCCTCCAGGGGTTCCAAAGTTTCTTGCAGCCCTAATGCTCCTCCAAGTCCACACCTGTACCTCCAGGTGCCTCTTGGACATCTCCACTTGTTTTCTCCAGGTACCTCATTATCTGTCCCCACGAACCTGTTCCTTCCTCAGTTTCCCCATCTACTTACCAATAGTTGATCAAAAATTTTAAAACAAACAAACAAACCTGAGAGTCATTGTTTTTAAGTAAACTTTTTATTACAGCACAGCAGCCAGACAGTAAAGTGCACAGATCAGAAATAACTAACTGGGGACTTCCCTGGTGGTCCAGTGGTAAAGAATCTGCCTTACAATGCAGGGGACACAAGTTCAATCCCTGGTCAGGGAACTAAGATCCCACATGCTGAGGGGAAACTAAGCCCGAGCGCCACAACTACTGAGCTCACACACCTCAACTAGAGAGCCTGTGTGCTGCAAACTACAGAGCCCATGTGCTCTGGAACCTGCACGCCACAACTATAGAGCCCAGGCGCCCTGGAGCCTGCGTGGGCCACAATGAGAGAGAAACCTGCGCGCTGCAACGAAGAGCCCACACACCGCAAGTAAGACCCAATGCAGCCAAAAATAAAATAAAATAAATAAATAATAAATAAATCTTAAAAAAAAAAAAACTAACTAACTGGCTTGGGAATTCCCTGGTGGTCCAGTGATTAAGACTCTGTTTTCACTGCCGAGGGCCCAGGTTTGATTCCTGATCAGGGAACTAAGATCCCACAAGCTGCATGGCACGGCCGAAAGAAAGAAAGATGATGAATTTTCAGAACACTCCCGTGGAGCCAGCATCAGATGAAGAAACAGCACACCACAGCAGCCCCTCATGCCCCCTTCTAGGCTCCAGTCCTCCCCCCACCGCCAAGGTTGATCACCATTCTGGCCTCTATCATCATAGTTAGTTTTGCCTGTTTTTTGTTTGTTTGTTTTGGCTGTGTTGGGTCTTTGTTGCTGCACGCGGGCTTTCTCTAGTTGAGGAGAGTGTGGGCTACTCTTAGTTGCAGTGTGCGGGCTTCTCATTGCGGTGGCTTCTCTTGTTGCGGAGCACGGGCTTTAGGCGCACAGGCTTCAGTTTTGCAGCACGTGGGCTCAGTAGTTGTGGCTCACAGGCTCAGTAGTTGTGGCTCGTGGGCTTAGTTGCTCTGCGGCATGTGGGATCTTCCTGGACCAGGACTCGAATCCGTGTCCCCCGCACTGGCAGGCAGATTCTTAACCACTGCTCCACCAGGGAAGTCCCAAGTTTTACCTGTTTTAAAACTTGATGTAAATAGAAGCACACAGTAGGTCTGCTTTGGGGGGAGATTCTGTCAGGCTGCGTGTTCCTTCCCCTCATTGGGCAGTGTTCTCTCAGATGAGTATTCGGAAGTATTTCTACCTTCTTTCTTGCCCCCAACATCAAATTTATCACCGCATTTATCTCTCTAATCCATGCCTGCCTCTCCTCCCCACTGCCTCCCTTGGCCAAAGCGGCCTCATCTCCTGCCTGGACTATGTCAACACTCCACTAAACAGTCTCCCAACTTCCTGTGCTCCCAGCTCTTTCTAGAGCTGGAATGATCTTTTAAAAATAGTCCTTTTAATAAAGCACAGAGTTTTAACTATAGTACTTATTTGATCACTGTCTGCAATCATCTTGCTTCCTTATTTACAATACTTACTTCTCATGTGTTCTTCCCACCAGGTCAGTGCCTTCAGGACAGGGACCTTGGACTACCCTGGTGGTCCGGTGGTTGAGACTCTGCACTTCCACTTCAGGAGGTGCGGGTTCATCTCTGGTCGGGGAACTAAGATCCCACATGCCACACAGCGTGGCCAAAAAAAAAAGAACAGGGACCTTGTCAGCTTTGTCAGTCCCCAAACCCCCAGCCTTGACTCAGAGCCTCCTGTGTAAGCATGTTGCTCACACTTGTTGGATGAATGAATGGTTTACAAGGCCCTTGCTCATCTCTCCAACTGCACCCCGACCCTGCCCCTCCATCGCCATCTTCTAGCTACAGCAGCTTCTTTCAGTTCTTCTGTCAACCCCATCCTCCCCCATCCCCACCCCCACCCCCAGTTGCCCCAGGACCTTCATACATGCTGCCCCCTCCCAATAGGACAAGGTGTCCTTCCTTCTGGGAGGATGCTACTCCCTACTCCATGTATGCTTACTCACGTGGTTTGCTTCAGTCAGTGGAATTTGAGCAGAAATTATTTTGTTTTAAGAACTCCAAGGTGGTTCTGCACTTCCCCTTTTCCATCTGCCCCGGGTCAGGTGTACCCCTGGTAGTGGCAGCCTCTCTAGCCTGGGGTCTGGAATAAAGAAGACATGGAGCAGACCCAAAGCTAAACAGTAAAGGACATGGAATATGAATAAGAAATAAACTTTTTGAAAAAGAATATATGTATAACTGAATCACTTTGCTGTACACCTGAAACATTGTAAATCAAATATAATTCAATTTTAAAAAAATATTATTTTACAATCTTCTTTTTTAAAATTTTTATTTATTTATTTACGTTTGGCTGCGTTGGGTCTTCATTCCTGTGCACCGGCTTTCTCTAGTTGCGGTGAGCGTGGGCTACTCTTTGCTGCGGTGCGCGGGCTTCTCATTGTGGTGGTTTCCCTTAGTTGCAGAGCACGGGCTCTAGGCGCACGGGCTTCAGTAGTTGTGGCTTGCAGGCTCAGTAGTTGTAGCTCGTGGGCTTAGTTGCTCTGCGGCATGTGGGATCTTCCTGGACCAGGGCTCGAACCCGTGTCCCCTGCGTTGGCAGGTGGATTCTTAACCACTGCACCACCAGGGAAGCCCTCAATTTTTTTTAAAAAAAGGAGACTCTTGTTAAACAACATTTTCTCTAATTCCTTTAACAAAAAATAAACTTGTTTTTGAAAGCCACTGAGATTTTGGAGTTGGGTATTATTGTATTGTATTTCTATTTGCTGCTGTAACAAATTACCACAAACTCAGTGGCTTAAAATAATACAAATCTATTATCTTATAGTTCTGGAGGCCAGAAGTCCAAAGTGGGTCTCACTCTGCTAAAATAAAGGTGCCAGCAAGGTTTAATTCCTTCCAGTGGCCACCACATTCCTTGGCTTGTGGCCTCCTTCCTCCACTTTCAAAGACAGCAGAATAGCATCTTCTGACCCTGACCCCTTTCCCACTTTTAAGGACCCTTGTGATTACATTGACCCTACCTGGATAATCCAGGATAATCTTGCCATCTCAAGGTCCTTAATCATATCTGTGAAGTCCCTTTTGCCGTGTAAGATAATATGTTCATGGGTTCCAGGAATTGAGATGTGCACATATTTGAGAGGTCATTATTCTGCCTACTACATTTATCACAGCATAATTTTTACTGAGCTAACTAATATACTATTTGTAAAATAATTGCACTACAAGTTAGAGGCATATGTCCATTTACTGCGTTTTGCTTTATTGCACTTCACAGATACTGCATTTTTTACAAATCGAAGGTTTGTGACAACTGTCAACAAAAATAATGAATAAACAATCTATAATAGTAGAAGAGTTTTTTTGTTTTGTTGTTGTTGTTATTATTTGTTTTTTTCTTGGCTGCATCGCATGGCTTGCAGGATCTTAGTTGTGGGATCTAAGTGGAAGATCCCACTTCCACTGGCAGTGGAAGCGTGGAGTCCTAACATTGGACCACCAGGGAATACCCTAGAAAAGAGTTTTATTTGAGCCAAACTGAGGGCTAGAGCCCGGAAGCCAGCTTTCCAGATTACTCTGAGCGACTGCTCCAGAGAAGCATGATTTTCAGTCTGGTTTTATACCTTGCCAGAACAAAGAACATTAAACAAATCAGGAATACATTTCTTCACGGTTTCAAAAAAAAAAAAAAAAAAGACCAGCAAGTATACAGCAAGTCAGCATGGCCTTAGCACCTGGGAACCGGTCTTATCATCAAAGGAGGATCGGCATAGACATCCCAGGAAAAGAAGCATTTTTTGCTTTGTTCTGTTTTTTTGTCTTTTTTTTTGCGGTACGCGGGCCTCTCACTGTTGTGGCCTCTCCCGTTGCGGAGCACAGGCTCTGGACGCGTAGGCTCAGCGGCTATGGCTCACAGGCCCAGCCGCTCCGCAGCATGTGGGATCTTCCCGGATCGGGGCACGAACCCGTGTCCCCTGCATCGGCAGGCGGACTCTCAACCACTGCGCCACCAGGGAAGCCCCAGGAAAAGAAGCATTTAATCATTATTTTAAACATGCACATTCTTTACTTCTGGTCAATGTGTCTTTTTATTTAATAATTAAAGCAGATGTACAATGTATGTTTGATAGGCCAAAAACAGGCTGTTTTTGTTAGCAGAAAATTCAAGTTAACTCATGTATAGGCCAGAATGACTTCCCCACACCTCATTATGTGAACGTTTCTTTTATCACAACCATGTGTTGAGCTAGTCTATCAGCGTAATTTTTTCAACAGCATTCACTCACTTCGTGTCTTTGTGTCACATTTTGGTAATTCTTGCAAAACTTCAAACTGTTTCATTATTATTATATTTGTTATGGTGATCTGTGATCAGTGACTCTTCGGCTCCGTTGGGTCTTCCTTGCTGCGTGTGGGTTTTCTCCAGTTGCAGCAAGCAGGGGCTACTCCTCGTTGTGGTGCACGGACTTCTCACTGTGGTGGCCTCTCTTGTTGTGGAGCACGGGTTCTAGACGCACAGGCTTCACTAATTGCAGCATGCAGGCTCAGTAGTTGCAGCACACGGGCCCTAGAGCATGCGGGCTTCAGTAGTTGTGGCACTTGGGCTCAGTAGTTGTGGCACGTGGGCTTAGTTGCTCCGCGGCATGTGGGATCTTCCCGGACCAGGGCTCAAACCCGTGTCCCCTGCATTGGTAGGTAGATTCTTAACCACTGCGCCACCAGGGAAGTCCCTGTGATCAGTGATTGGTGTTGCTATTTCAAAAAGACTATGACTCCCTGAAGGCTCAGATGATGGTTACCATTTTTTAGCAATAAAGTATTTTTAAATTAAGGGTATGTACATTTTTTTAGACATAATGCTATTGTACACTTAATAGACAATAGTAGAGTGTAACATAACTTCTATTGCACTGGAAAACCAAAAAATCTG